TTAAATTAACGCGAATTTTTGAAATTCGCGTTAATTTCATGACGCGTTAATTTCCTATAATAAGGTATATCATGCTCTATACTTTGTCATTCATCTGTGGCAGACAAATGGCATTCAATGTGTGAGAAATGGATTATTGACACAGGGAGTACCACAGATAATGGCCAACAAGTAACGATTGATTATAACAGCAATTTTATTTCAAATTGGCATGATTTGTAGTGTTTCGAACTTATGGGATCAGGGGACAGAACCCTAACCTCTAGAGCCTCGTGAAATCGACCTTTCACTCTGTCATAAGTAAAATGAGCATCTCTGTGGTCGTGCATTCTCATGAAGTGTACACTACATAGGTGAAAAAAGTGTCTGAGGTTGGCGTTGACATGAAATCAACATGTTTGTGTTTTTTTCAAGTGAAATCGACATCTCAGCTTTCATGTATCAACATTTAAGTGTCCTATTTAAGTGAAATGAGCATCTCTGTGGTCATGCATTCTTGTGAAATCAACATTTAACTGTACGACAGTTTTTTCTAAATCAGCAAATAAAGGCTCTCTGCCTGTGTACAATATACCATTTGAAAGCCACTGATCAGCTTATTTAAGAACTGACATTAGTAACTATGAAGGAGGTAGTCATTTTGAGAGAAATTGTTTTGAAATGTGAAAATGAAGAGCTTCCAACATGTATCAATTCTCAAATATCATAGGTATGCCCCCGAACTGTAGCTTAATTAGCAGGTCATAGCACATAGCTTGATGTGAAACAAGTCTTGCATTCCATGTGCATCTCAAAAAAGAAATTGTAAAATTATTGGGGTGGTCAACCATGTCTTAGATAGGAGGGGGTCACAATTTTATACCTTCAATGAGCAGATCTTTACAAGACAATTTTCATGGCAAAAATTCATAGAAATCTCTCAAATATTCACAAAGTTATGATGTTGTGTGCCAAATGGCACTCCTAGGGAGTAAAGGGTTAAGTGAAAAAAAGTGTCTGAGGTCACTTTTTGACGTGAAATCAACATTCATGTGTATTTTGTAAAAGTGAAATCTCTGAGCTTTGCCACTGATGTGAGAGCAACATGTAAGTGTTTTTTTTAAAGTGAAATGAGCATCTCTGCAGTCACGCATTCTCGTGAAATAAGATTGTCTGTTGACCTGAGATCAACATTTTGTGGTTTTTTGAAGTGAAGACAAAATTATTGCTTTCAAAACTTGAAGACAAAGTTTTTTTGCTTTGTTGTGGAGCAGAAACTTGTTTTGAGCTTTTTTCTGGCAATTCAGAAAAAAAGCAAAATATAACCAAAAACTCAACATGAGGTGGATATGCATACGGCCCTTCAATTAGCGCGAACGTCCTTTAACACAAAGTGAGCCTATACAACAAGGCTAAGGTGTTCAGTCTGTCAATCACAAATCCCAACGGGTGATCAATACTCCCATTTGATTGGTTTATTCACTCAGATTTTATTTTAGCGCATACAGAGTTGCCACTAAGTTCTGGAGAGCAATCGGGTGTAATTTTCTGCTTTGTTTTAGAAATAAGCAATACCTTTTGAATTAAACCAATGATAGCTTCAGGAGAAGAGTTTAGAAAGGTAACTGATTGTTTTATTTCACCTTCATAATTTTGTTTTTCCATGTGGGAAAGCGTATTGTATTTTTTCGAGCCAGTTAACTGAAAGAGACTCCAGAAGGTGAACATTGGCTGCTGTAGCAATCTTGCTGTTCAAATTCAGTCAGTCTTTTATGAATACAATTTTTATTTTTATTGAATTCAGCCATGAGTCTTCCTTCTACTTTCTAATGTCAATATTCAGGTGAAATCTCACTTTGCCATTTTTGAAGTTCCCTTTGTTTTCTTCATAGTATTTTTTTGTTTCGAATTTCTTTGCTCTGAATGGCCTGAATATAGAACAGTTTGAGGAATAGCTCAGCATTGTTCAATTTGCATTTTGGAGTTACACAATAACAGCCCTTATCAATCTGAATACTTTTGAATATCCCACCAAAATCCGCCTGTGTTCGCAGGCTACCAAAAATCACCTCTTACGAGACCTAATTGATCAGTGTGCGGGTGACTCTCGCAAGCTATTTCGTGTGGTTAATTCTTTGTCCAGGGAGCCACTTGAGATGGCTCTTCCAGAGCACGATGATCCCACTAAGCTTGCAAACGAATTTGGCACCTTTTTCCTCAAAAAAATTGAAACCATAAAGGAAAATCTTGACAAGTTTCAAGTTCAAGTGCCTCGACTTGTTCCTGTCACTCCGAAGGAGAATCTGGAGAATTTTTCTT